AAGGATGTATATCAAAGTTTTGAGACTCAAAGATAATCAGCTTAAATTCAGTTGCACATTATACATTTTTTTTATAATGACCTATGATCTCTTATCTACATTAATTGCCTCATAGATAATTGATTGCTACTGTATTATGCAAGATTTGTCTTCATTGGCACAATGGGTTCATGCACATGATGAAACTGAAATCATTATAGATCCTTTGTTGCAAACAAATCAAGACTATTTAACAGCACTTGCAAAATACCACGATGGCGATCATTTGGACGCATGGAATCTCGTTGATAATGTTCCATTGCAAATATCGCAAAAATATCTCAATTATCGTGGTGCCAACTTTATCCCAATGTTATGCCTTTTCCGTGAGAAGCTTTTTAATTTAGTTAATGAAAGTTCTAATTCTAGAACATTGAATCAGCAAACAGCTCTTTGTGTTTTAGAGAACATTGTTAAGCATTCGTTTACGGGCTCCTTAATGAGCACTATTCCTATATTATTAAAGACAATTACAATAAAATCAGAAGCTCAACAGCTTCACCATTTTTTATCTGAATTTGTGGAATACATAAATTACAATCAGAAATTACCGTTTAGTGATACATTTGTTATTGATTTATCTGTATGGAGTCCATTAAATACAACTATTGACCAATTAATTTCGAACCCAGAAATTCAAACAACATTAAAAGAGATTAATATATTTAAATTTATGATGGCAAAAATTGCTAGAAAAAGTTCAGCTTTAAATTATGCAGCTTATATCCTTGATCATTGGAAGCAAGATATTCCTGCAGAAGTTGTATTTGAACATTCTAAAATGTTGTTTGCTCAAGGATTGTATCAAGAAGCTATTGTCCGTGCATGCTCACTTTTGCGCGATGAGCAATATCCGTCCTTTGCATTTTCAGAGACTTTAGTTTTTCGTCAAAATGTGCTTTTAAAGCTGGCAAAGTGGTTACAGCATCCAGAGTCACAATTAGATAGTGAGACTTCATCTGATTTAAATATCATCTTCACTGAGTATATTGGTAGCCAAGATTCGGAAGAAAAAAATTTAGAACCTAATTTAATAAATAGTAAACTGGTGGAAGCATGTTTGTTTAGGGCGATTAATGGAGAAAATCCGACTGCGAAAGCTTGGTTTGCCTATGCTTCATACCACTACCAATATGGTCGACAGATAATTGATGAGTTAGGCAGCTGCAAGTTTTCTATTAATTTATTGAGCTCCGCTAGTAAGAAAATTCAGCAAGTTTTGACAAATGATTGGGAAGTTTCGAACAGTAATAATTTTACCGATTGTGATATAATAATAAAAGTACTTTTATTCTTTTTTATTTCAGTATTGTCTTAATTTTAGTACAAATATATGACTCTGTATTCTTTTGCAAAAAAATAGAACATATTTCGTATGTTTTTACGCAGAGTTAGCTCTCTATCAAGATTGGATCAAAATGGTGATAATATATTGGATTTTAATGCAATCCTTCCTTGGATTTCACAAAATTCAGTTGATGAGATTACAAATGCATTAAGTAAAGTACAAAAAGAGCTCTTTATTGCTTATAAATCTGCTATTGATGGATATTTCCGATTCTTACAATCTACACGTGGAAAAAATAACGTCCAAGATACTCAAGATACTCAAGCGGTAACTTAAGTGATTATTTATTGATTTATTGAGGATGTTTAGACTCACTAACGTTCGATATATTTAAATTTTTTAGGATATTCGCATAGAACGTATTGAGGAATCTGATATAATAACTGCAACTCTAAGGATTTTAAGATTACTTGTGAAGCATGGACTGCTTTTTGAAGAATCTTTTGTCGAAGGATTTAATAATACTAATATTCGGTCATGGGAAAATATAATTCCGCAAGTGTTTTCGCGTTTAGATCATCCAGAACCTTTTGTTCAACAGCAGCTTTGTAAACTTTTGTGTTCAATTGCTTCTGTTTCGCCACAGCTAGTTGTATATCATACTGTTGTTGCCTCAAATTCTAGTGGCACCAGCGACTTAAGTAAGCAACTACTCAAAAGAATTGCTGATAGTCTTGATGATTCCAATGGAACATTGATCGTAGAAATTCGACGTGTGATCGAAGAGCTACAACGCATTACAGTTTTATGGGAAGAGCTTTGGCTCAATAAAATAAGTGGCTTACAACTTGACGTCAACAGACGGTTTCACAAATTTGAACGCGAATTCGAGAGAATAAACGATAATCTCAATCTTTCGTCAGAACAACGAAATAAAATTATGAAAGAAAGTTATGATGCTATTATGAAGCCAGTAATTTTATCTATCGATCGATTATATAATAGTACTATTGCTGTTGCTTCAACACAACATGAGAAATGGTTTTGTCAGACTTTTGGTAATCGTATTCATGAAGCTCTGGAAATTCTACGTACTCCATTTTCATGGGAATCATATAAATCGGGTTGGGATCTTTTGCGCAATGTACGTAAATTACTATAATGATCTTGAAATTCCTTAGGTTTACTTATCTGGGATTTATAAAAAATTTTTTTCAGGTTCAAAAAGATTTAACGAAGGAATTAATGTCAAATCGTTCGTTAAAATTAATTGATGTCAGTCCATATCTGGGAACAATCAAATCTTCTGCGATCGCTATGCCTGGTTTACCTTATCATACGGATACGGTGACAATTCAATCGTTTGATGAAAACTTTATAATTCTACCTACAAAAACCAAGCCCAAAAGATTAGTTCTCCTTGGATCGGATGGGCTGCAGTATGGTTACCTTTTCAAAGGCCATGAAGATCTTCATTTAGATGAACGAATTATGCAACTATTGCAGATTACTAACGATTTGCTCAAACGGGATAAACAGACGCGTGCTCGAAGCTTGCGCGCGCGTAATTATGCTGTCATTCCTTTAGGAAATCATTCAGGAATGATTCAGTTGGTAGAAAATGCTACTCAAATATTTGTACTTTACAAAAAGTGGCAACATCGGGAACATTTTGCCAAGGTTTTACAAAACAACTCTGAAGAATTAGCTGGAAACCCACAACGACCCAGTGATATGTATTTTGAAAAAATTGGCAAGGCTCTAAAAAAAGAAGGTTGGCCTGCATCCACTTCGAGACGTAACTGGCCTCGCTCTGTTCTCAAATCAGTATTTCTTGAATTAGTATCAGAAACACCTTCAGATCTACTTGAAAAGGAGGTTTGGGCATCTTGTTCAAGTCCAAAAGAGTGGTGGATTAAAAGCATTTCTTTGTCACGTTCGCTTGCAGTTATGTCTGTTATCGGCTACATAATTGGTCTGGGAGACCGTCATTTAGATAATATTTTGATAGACTTTGAGTGCGGAGAAGTTATTCATATTGATTATAACGTGTGCTTTGAAAAAGGGAAAAAACTTCGAGTTCCTGAGACGATTCCTTTCCGCCTTACACAAAACATTGAAACTGTACTTGGTGTTACTGGAGTCGAGGGTGTCTTCAGGATCGCATGCGAAAATGTTCTTAGGGTGTTGCGAGAAAATAAAGAAATTCTAATTACATTACTCGAAGCATTTGTATATGACCCATTAGTTGATTGGCATCAAGACATGTCTGAAGGCCGCGAAAAACAAATTATGGAGATTGAAGAAAATTTAGGATTGTTAATTTCGAGAATTGGTACTAATTTTTTTTTTTCAAATTTATGACCTGAGAATTTACAAGATTTTACTAATAATGCATGTATTCTTAGCTGAACTTAGGGTTCCCCTTGAGAATAACCAAGGACATCTTTCAAATTTACTTTCTGAATTTCTTACAGTTTTCATGCGTATATGCGAACATTACATGAATTTATATAATCAACAAGTGGAATTATCTGAACAACCGAGTCAAAGTCATAAGATCGATATGCGGGAATCTGCGTTCATTCACAGTCAAATTGAATTAGAAGGTCTAAAATCTGCTCTCTCACAAAGAGCTAATGAATGCGCACTTTGGCATGCACAACACGAAAAAACTATACAATCTATTCAAGGTCCTACACTCCAGATTATTTATAATGAAATTTTTTCATCAAGTTCGCAAATAGGGGTATCTATTTTCACTCCATTTTTGCAAGTTCTTACCACGAATGAATTTATACTTCAACGTTGCAGCAAAATTGAGCAAGAATTCTTGAGTTGGATGAATGAACGCAACGTAGCTTTCAAAAACTGCCTTGAACGTTTGCAATTTTATAGAACTTTAGTAGTTCCTTTAGTTCCTGTGTTAATGATGCAAGATTACTATTCTAAATGGCCTCAATTATTGGTTTCTTTACTCGAATCGTCATTTTCAAGTCAAGACTTCCAGGCCCTATATCAAAAATCTAGTCTTCCAATTGTTTCCGGTAACGCATTGAATCATATTCGTGACGATCTTAAGATATCTTACACAAATGCTGTGCAGGAAAGCGTATCTCTTGCCGAAGCCTTAACTTTGGCTACAGATAAAATGGCCATGAACGAATCAACGTTACATTCTATGTTGAACAATATATTCAACGAGCAAAATTCTACGAGTTTAAATTCACACCTTCTATACTTAGCGAGCGTATTATCTTCACTATCTGAGCTTCATCAGTTCATTAAGGAGTCGAATGACATGTCTGATGTGTTCAATCACGTCGGATTTAGCGCTAATTTTCAGACTGTTATTAAAGAAACTCTGTCTAATGAAACTCTCGATAAATCGTCATTTTTAACACACGTAATAATTTTATTGTCCATTTATCATCATGTTCAAATGATAACCGGTAAGTTTATTTGTCTTTCTCTGCATATAGTTATTACAAGGTAAATAGCTAACTGCTTTATTTCTATATTTTATTTACTTAGTGAAAATCACTGATGAAGAAATACTTAGTCAGACATTAGCTATAGCCGCTGAACTTTTACAATCAGTTCGGATAATTCTTAGCTTACAACATAATTTCGTGAACGTTATATTACCTAAGATATTTCTTTTAATTCATGGTTCACCAAAAGCTTTTGAACCTTTTACCGAAGTATTACGTAGTCTATCTACAGACGCTTTCAATTATTGGGGAATGAAGCATCCAGAATCTCATTACATGGTGAAGTCCATGGTAATCGATTAGCACATCTTTTATAAGACAGCACATTTTTTGCCTAAATTTCTAATTACTATATCCTATTCGTAGAGTGAATCATTCAAGCGACTTTGTGAACATACATATAGAGAAGGAATTTCGCAAGCTGTTCATTTATTGATTATCGAATTTGACGAGTTATTCAATAGCTTGAGGGATACGTTGCTTAAGATTCAAGTAAACTTATATTTTACTAAAATTATCAAGGCATATATATGTCAATTAGAATTGGATTAATTTTTAAAATTAATTTTAACTAGGCTCTTTTTAAAGAACTTAAAGAACACAGTTCATCTAAAGACGGTCAAGAAGATTTAATTGAAGGCCGCCTTATTGATGACTTTATTGTTCATAAGCTCAATGTGAGTTTGTTTGAATTTGTATTAATTTCGTGTTAATGTTACATTAATATTTTCTATCTTAGGTTATGGCTTGTGTTTTGTTGGCGTGTGACGATTATTATAAAGAAAATGGCCAACCTCGTCTAAACACCGTCTGGGTATCATCAATGGCTATGGCAGACGCTTTTAAGAATAGCTCTGATTCACTCA